ATCTGTTATTACTGATCCTTGGGATATACTACTAGCATAGTGCAGTACTACTGTTTTCACCACCTGTAGAACTGGCATTCTTGTTTGAATTCCGATTTAATCTTGATGATCCTCACTAGACTTACTTGGTCTTAATGATTTTGCTTAAATTGTCACCTCCTGTAATCAATAATCTTTTGCCCTTTCAGTCCATTTAAGTTTATGTGAACACTATTCATGGGATAGATCCTCAAGCTCCAGATTGGAATAAATCAGTTTAGAATTAACCTCTTTAGGTTGTGTGACGAAGTCTGCTGTCACCAGTTTGAATTGTGATTTTTGTGGGCTTTTACTGGAGTTAGACCAGAAGTCTTTATCATGCAACCTTCTATTCTTTAACCTATTTCAGCTTGTGATCATTGGGAAGATCAGAGGTTCCATCTTCATCCAGCCTAACTAGATTTGAATATAATTTTAAGGATTATTAGATATAACATATGCAGAATATTCAATAAATCTACATATAAAAGTAGATATGCTTTTGCCTCTTGTGGGTATTGAATTAGGGACATGCATTTGGTAACCTGGGAGCACTACTCACTGTGCTATTGATTCACAAGTCTTATATTGTTATATTAATAAATAATAAAAAAAATAATTATTTAAATATCAAACCTTGGTTTATTAATCTAATGTCAAAATCTTATTCCAGCTGACACATATTCTATGTGGATGCTCAGGAGATACACTTAGATCAAAGACAATAAATTTCTGTTTGCATAAATACTTGTTAATAATTTTATAATAAATATATCAGTCATTAACATATAAATGAAATATTCTGCTTAATTCATCTGAGATACAAGAGCTGTTAAAAAGTACAACATATTTTAAATTTTTTTCTTATTAGTTTTGGATATACATGTGGTGTAAATTATTTTGCTGTTGACTCAATTCCCAAAATCCTCAAAAATAATTGCGTCATGACTTAATTATTTATATGTTTTAATAGTGACTCAATTAATTGCATCAAATAATTGCATAAATTGTGTCAAGGATCTATGAATTTCAGCAACATGTATAGTTTTGGACAGTCAAAATAGCTTTGTAAAATATATATTAAAGAAACATTGGAATGGCATCCCTCAGTAAAATAAGATATAATCTTTTCTTGAATTTTCTTTGATTCAGTGCATAAATCTCAAATATAAACACTGTACCTCTTTCTGGAAAAAATGAATCTAGTCTTGGAATTTTATTAGGCTTTATAGTCCTAAATGTAATATCTTCACAATATAACTCTGAACTATTTGCAATTATCTGAAATGCTAATTTAAGGTACATATATTTGGGTTCCTTGAAATGATGACCAATAAGTATAACATTATTACATTTAATATCTTGGCTTTTTTCTTTTTTCTTATTAAACATTCGATAGAGTTTATTTTCAAGCAAAAGATTAACAACTTCAGTAGTTTTTTCTAAATTAGTTTGATCAGTGATTAATATTGTAAAAGACTATTGAGAAGTTGAGTTTTTTGAGTTATATTTTTCAGAAAACTTGTATTCATTTATATTAAGTACAAACTTCTTAACCGGTTCAAGCTTTTCTATTTTTATACTAACCAAGCTAAATAACTATTTATTATATCAAAAAAATAATGACTTAAGTTATTATTCTTCAATATATATATATATTAAATTTGTTTATCTCTTTTGATTTATAAATTAAATATTACATAGCAAATATAAAAATAGCTAAACTTTATAAACAACTTTCTAAATTTATAGGTTTCAAATCCGATGAGATTCATTTTCTAGAAACAGAGAGATCAACAATTGTTTTGAAAAATTATTGTTGATCAAAGAATAGCAACAAATATTGTGATAGATGATTTTTATTTTTTGCTCCATACTGAATATAATAATAAAGGTTATCAATTAATACATATCAGATAGTTAATATATGTAATATGGAAAGAATGTAAAAAAGTTTTGTTAAACATCTCTCATGATATTACTAATAAAATCATAATACATTTTCAATATGAATTTAAAGATATTTCATTGGCACCAATAGTAAGGTATCTGAATATTCCATCGTACTTGGATTCAGAGTATGATATTATTTAGCTATTGAGATAGTATCAATTATCATATTTATTAATATCCATATTTTTTAAATATCTTTTTTTAAGCAATTCACTTTTGATATAGGTAAATAAATCACAATCGAAAGGGATATAGATGAAATCTATATTCTCTCTTTTACATTTATCTTATTTTTTTTGATCATGCATCTGTTGACTATCTAGATTATTTTGATTTTTGTGATATAAACTATTGCAATAATAATGTTGGATCCCATTATATTCCCATGCCAATTTTAGTTCTTTATTATACCCATCCAATTGCATACATTCAAAAATAGCAGTTTATAAGATGAGAATTTCTTACTTAACAAATCTTCAAAAATATATCTTATATAGTGCTCCCCTTTCCAATGAGAGCAAACTGGACATCACTCAAATTTTTGTATCAAGATCTTATAAGGTGCTTTCCATTGATAAAGTCCGTTTGCACAGGATTAAAGATATACATCGAAATTGTTTATTTGATCAGTTTTATCAAAATATGTTTTATCACACTTCTTAGTATATATGATGGCTTTAGATATTTTATTAATAATATAAACAAAATTAATAGACTTGGAATAAGTGTTTTCTTCCAATATACTCTAGGGTAAATACTAAAGTTTTTCTAGATCTATTTGCATCAACTCTTCTCTTACAAATCCATACTTTGAAGCATATTTATCATCTTTGAGATAATATAAAACTGGTTCATTTTTTGTTATTACAATTTTACAGATTGTATAAATAAATAGCGAAAATATGGAATCTGTTGTGTATCTCTGATTTTTCATATTATCTTCCCACTTCATATTAGCAAGCAGATAATAAACACTATCTTCTGTTTTTAACTTATTTTTCTTATTTTTGTCAGCAAGACGTTTATATTTTGTAGATGGCCTAGATTCAACCTTTTCTAACTTAATTGCTTTTATAGGTGCCAATTCCTATTTCTTCGATCCAGGAGTTCTAATAAGATGTGTCAAATAATTATTTAGATAATCGATAACTTCTGGCAAATATTTAACCCACTCTTTTATTAATTTAGAGTTCAAAGTTATACTTTCAACAGCATATTGGACTTTATATAGTATTTCTGCTAGAATTTTATTAAATCATTTCATAATTGCCATATTATGATGATTGTATATACCAATGACTCATATTGTTATATTATGCTTTTGCATAAGCTTGGAAGTTTCACTCATAAATTCTCTACCACCATTACACTGTAATAAATTAGGTCAGATAAGAGAAATATCCATGTTGTCATAAATTTTCTTGAATGTCTTGGCTACCTCTAAACTATTTTTTAAAGTTAGAAGTATAGAATATTTGTATCTACTGGAGACATCTACGACATTGAAAATTCATTTAAATATTTTTTTATGTACTTTGTCATTAGTAAGATATAAAAGATCACACTGGTGCATACAGTTTGAATGTGAAATTTTACTATAACTAACTCTTGAAATATCTTTTGGTAATAGAGCATACTTTTACTATTCATTCTGGTTATATAATTATTTACCAACTTTTTATATATGAAATTATATTCTTTATCTCTAATAGCATTATACAACTTTTGAGCATTGGAATGATAACCAGTAGGTTAATAAAAAAACAATTTACAGATTAAGTTTAATTCTCTATCTGAATCAATTCTAATAATAGGCATGCTCAATTTACTTATCTTTGATATTACTTATTTTTATTATAAATTAGAATAAATTTCAATGATCTCTCTTGAAACACAAATTTAAAAATTGGAATATAAATTGTTTCAGGTTGTGGATTATATCTTATATTTTGAAAAGCAAATTACAGATTGGGATAATGAAATTGAAATTTTCAAATCAGAAAATATGAACCTTAAGAAGCATCTTAAAAAGGCATTATAAGATACTGAGAATAAGAATAAAAATAATATTTTTCTTGAGACTTAATTACTAGAAATAAGTAATGAAATATCTTTACTTCAACATAGAATTCAACAATTATGCCAAAATATTAGAATGTTAAGTAATATTGCTGATAGTTCTTATATTATTGATTAAGATCTAGGATAATTTCAAATATTTAACTGATTGTTATAGAGAAAATGGTGACCCATTACTTTCTAATGAAATTGATAATCTTCAAATACAAACTGAATTGAGGATAGCTCAAATCAAAAATAAATATAACTATAAGATTGATTATCTAAGAAAAAGTATCATTGAAAAAAATGAAACTCATCTATTTGTTTAACAACAAACTATAAATAAGCAAGTAAATATAATTTAAAATCTGCAGGATTTTTTCAATGAATTGGTAGAAAAAAATCAGACTTTTCAAAACCAATTAGATTTATATTGTACCAAAAATTATAGATTAACAGAATCTATAATTAGTATTCAAGAAGAATTATTGGAAACTCAGTAAAACTTTGAAGACCAGTTAATAGATTATGTAGAAGTATCTGAAAATTTTGTAGAACTGGAAAATGAATATAACAAGTTAAAAGAGTACTTGTGTATTTTAGATTTAACATATGTTGGAGTCAGATGCAGAGCTTTAAATAATTTTCAATAGATTTATCAATGATATACTATTTATAGAAATAAAGCATATTAAGCTGAAAGAGGTTTATAAGAATATTATGCTAATAAAGCTATGTTAGAATATTGGCATAACCAACTTATAGCCAGATATCAGAAATGGAAAAATAAAAGTACTATTATGAAATCTCATTAATTATATAAGCTATTAACCATCCAAGCATAAAAAAGACATAATGGTATATTATTGATAGAAAAATTTGCACAATGTCAATTAATTTTGAATTTATAAGCCCAAATTTTATTACTACACAATAATCAATCTATAAATAACCAATATAGAAGAATAATGGAATACGTACCACTCTTATTTTATGAAAAAGCTGGAGAAGATCCTAAAGAATGGATTAGAGATTTTAAACAATATTGTGAAGTATTTGGACTTGATCCACTTGCAGATGCTCAAATCAGAATAAGAATTCACAAACTTTTTGAGACTTGTTTGAAAGGTAATGTAAAAGATTGGTATGAAACAAGTCTCAAGAATAAAAATTGGAAATTGCAAAATATTAATGATAATACCAACTTGGTCAATCTTGAAACTATTAATGAATTAGCTAACAATAATACATTACATAATATCAATGCTAATCAGTTTAGAGGTGAAGCTCTTCAAATAAGAAATACAGTTCCAATTAACAACAATGCAATTGTTATACCATTTGTGTCAGTACATACTGTTTTTGATAAAAATTGGTCAATAGCTAATAGACAACCAACAGATTTAGCTCCCAATACTCCAATGCTAATATAGGAGATAATATTATTGCCCCTGGTATTTGTATCGGACAAGTAATATACTGATTCAGAACAAATTATCCAATGATTATCACTGAAAAATCAAAAGTTGTATTTAATAATATTACTTAAGGAACTGATCCTATAGGCTGATTCTATGCACAATTAAAAAGAATAGTTGTACTTGCTTATTCAACATTCCCAGCATTAAATTAAGAAAAAATAATTAGACAACAATTCTTTCAAGGTTTTTCTCTTGATAATAAATTAGAAGTAAGACGTATTGGTCTTGAAAATTCAATTTCCACTTTATTACCAAAATTAGAACAAATTAAAAGACAGAAAGCTGAATTGATGTTAGGGCAATACAATTCCAGTCACTTTTCATTTATGATCTACAACTAATACAAAAAATTCTTATATAATGAAAAAAAAACCCTCACCCGTTCACCGCTGATTTTTTGAAAATTTCCTTTTTAGGAAATCTTCTTCCAAGAAGTGTCCTCCTTTCTTTA